GGTTGACGCTATTTGGCTGATTATTTCCTCTTTTGGAACCTTCTTAGGTGCCACCGCGAAATTAGGGCCTTTGGCCAGCGCAGATATAGTGTCCTGGGACAGGTTTTTGTTCGATAGGTTCTTGACGTAATGTAGGGGGGGGTTTGGTTTTTTGTGAGGTGCGTCAAAGGAACTACAGACCGGATCGGCAGGATATTGAACAAACACAATATCCGAACTATCTACAAACCACCCAAGAAGATAGGACAAATCTTAAAAAACCCCAAAGATCCAAGACCGCCACTCAGTTCCGCAGGAGTATACAGAATACCGTGTTCCTGCGGACAAGTATACATCGGGGAAACCGGGAGAATGGTAAACCTACGGATAAAAGAACACCAACGAGACGTTAGACTGAAACACGTCACACAGTCGGCACTATCAGAACATAACGTCGAAACAGAACATTAAATACTGTTTGACCAAGCAACCACGATAACCAACACCACATCATACTTCCCAAGAAAATACAGAAAAGCCATAGAAATACAAAAACACCCTAACAATCTAAACAGGGATAATGGCTATAACATAAGTAAGATATGGAAGACCATCCTCCCGACCAGCAAAGACCGACCAAGATTCCACTATCTGTCTCCCCCATCACTCTAACCCCCCCCCTCCACCAAAATCTCCCACCTCAACAAGTAGCGTAACATAAAAAGGAAGGACCTGGAGGAACAGCTCAGTATCAGGCTGCTCCTCGCCCTGATGAAGTGGACTGCAAGGCCCACGAAACGTTGGCACATCAAGAATGGACCAAGACATGGAGAAAACCCGCGAAGCACAGATTAGTTATATAGAAAGCACCCATGGAAGCATCAAGAAGATTGTAACATAAACTATTTTGTTCCGTGTCTCGTTCAGTTTAATGTTGCGGAAGTATGTATAAAATTAAAAAATTATAAGTTTATGTTCCCGTCAAATATTACGATATAATGACTTGTGTCAAAATTATTTCTAAATGAATGTAACGTATTAGTTAATGAATAATATATTGAATGCGCTCTACCTACAATGATTTACTCTCACTTGCCTTAATAATCTTTATTATTCCTATTCATTTTAATAAAAAAGAATATTTTGTGAAAAGGTATTTAAATAAAATAAATTTCAGTACACAGTAAACTTTACAGATTTGTTTTGGTCAGGAAATTCATATATTTCATGTATAAGATTATTATTAGTTTTATTTTAAATCATAATTATGCGATGGATGCGTATTTGACATTTTTTTATGATCATTAAATGAATTTACAGATTGAATGTATCCACACTGTCATCGAATGAATCTACAGAGAATGTAGGAAAAGATTCAGAAGGCACAAAAAAATCATCGCTCGCGGGTGAATTTTCGAACTACATTTAAATTGGTTGATTTAAAAATATTTTGACACTGAATTTGGAATCATGTGCGTACTTTTTCGCAACGATTTAATGAATTAACGGACTTAGCAAACTTTTGAACTGCATTGCACCACAACTAACTCAACTTGTATCATGTGTCATCGAATTTTTATTAAAAATCGAAAATGATTTTCTACCTACTTTCCGAATAGCTCTGAGTTAAGAATATGATAAAAGTGAACCATAACACGATTTGTCATTTAATGAATTATTTAGTAAATATATGCAAAATACTAAGGATAGATTTCATGAAACTCATAAATTTCAGTTCAGGCTCATTATGCGATGTTATGAAAGGTGTATTAAGAAAAATATTTTCAATGATTATGGTGCTGTTGCAGGTGAAAGCAATTTAAACTCTGGTGCAAATGGTACGCAACCTGGTTAGTTAGGCATTAAAAATTGGAGTAAATAAGTATCGTATTGAATAGTAGATTACATGCTAAATTTCTTTAAACTTTGTGAATTATATAACGACAATAGCAAGAATATTCTTGAAATACGACGCGTACATTACAAGTGTTAATAACAATAAAATTCCTTTTATCAATATATGAATATATTTTCTATTATGCATTTATATTTATTTTAAGTATTAACACAAAAATTGTTTATGATGATATAAATTGTTAAAAATGATATCAAAAATAAATAATATGTTCATACATTTAAATAACATAATATATTATTATAGGATTGTATATATATGTATGTTGATAACACAAACTATAGAAATCAAAGTCTTAAACGGTCTAGCTGGATCTTAAATGCTTGTATGATTCTGTGTTTATATACTACGTAAAAATAGTTTCCTAACTATTTATAAAAATAGTTTACGTATAAAAACGTATATAAATAGTTTCCGAAAAAAGGATGCAGAAATTTACATTTTTTTCGATTTCCAAAGGAAGGAATTCAACATAATGTCATAATGACATAGCGCCAACTTCAAATAATCATAGTAACATGGTGGCTTCTGGATATCGCTCTTTTTATGTTTAAAATGTACAAGAGTACATCTTTCATACTTTCATCATGGTAACAGATAAATCGTGAATATAAAGCGGGGAGCATAGATTCTTGCATAATGCATAACACGTAATGCATAAGAAAATAAACCAATTAAAGTCCTCCGTTTCTTTTCTCCGTTTTTTTTTCTTCCTTTCCATGAAATAAAGAAATAAAGAACTCTGATTAATTTAATTTCTTATGCGTTATGCAAGAGTCTATTCTCCCCGCTTAAAGCGTGATAATTTTTGTTGATATATGATTATTATTGTGTTAACATGTGATAACTTTTTATCAAACTAAGCAAATAATGACGTCATTAATCTGACTATGAGTATGAAATATAGAAATCTATAGATCTCAGCTTACTTCAGGTTCAGTTTCACTTGTGTGCAAATTTTGCGCATACGAAATTTTATATTTTTCTAAAATAAAACATCAACAATGCTACATTATATTGCAATCGGCTGTAACAATAAAAGCTATAGAAAAACTAAGGAACAAATTAATCAAGAGCAAAATGTCGAAATAAGTTTTCATCGGTACATATTTATAACCTATATAATAAAAATAAAGATCCGATATAAAATAAATAATAAAAAAAAGCCAATAAGTCACTTTAATGCTAATCCGGAAATAATGTGAAATTAAATTTCATATAATAGAATAAATATTTCTACCTATACAAGGTCATCAATGTCACAACGTACCTGTAATTACGAGTGCATTTAAAATCGTATACAAATTAAAATTTTAATAATATCTAAAGCCATGTTAAAATATTAATATAAAATTCGAGGGAGTATTATATATTTTATATTAATAATGTTTGACATGATTTTGGATTTTATTAGGATTTTTATGCAATCTTAATTGTTACTATTTGCAATTAATTATTTTTTTAAACGTTATAACGTTGTAACGTTAATTATGACTTTGTATATAGATCGAAATGTTTGTTTAATTATATTAAATTTAGTTTTATATTATTTTCGGTTTAAAATAAACCTCGGCTCATAGTCTCTTTTTTAATTACTTGATTTATAAATATTTAACGATTGTGTGCAATAAAAAATAATGTTCTTTATATTAAAAGAAGTAATGGGTATATATATTCATTACTTCTTTTAATATAAACAGAAAATTATTTTTAATTGCACACAACCTTTGACTTAACTTTACCTCACATACAATCCTATTTTTATACACTGGAAATACAAATAATATCATAATACATATATCGATTTTCAAATAGAGCGCTAAAATGTCGTCAGACAAGATGGCTGACTCTCACACCGGGATTTCGGTGTCCTCACCAATAAGCTGGCTTTACGCTTCGTTCAGATATTCATACGTCCATGGTATAACCGTTTGTAGATTTTTCTATGACCTCTGTGCTCTGTGGTTTGCCGTTATTCGTGGTTATTCACAAAAATGGCGGCCGTGCTGGACGAGGTCGGCAAATCCGCTGAGAAACTCGTGGACGAGGAGAAGAACGAAATCGTCGACGAGGAAGACAAAACCGGAGCGGCAGAGGCGTCGAAGAAGAAGAAGAAGAAAAAAAAGAAGAAGAAGGCCGGTAAGTTTTGTTCGAGTCCTTAAATGACGAACGTATCACACTCGATTTTTTGTAGCATGCGGTTCCCATTAATGATTTAATGAATTTCCTATCGTGATAGAATCGACCACGAAGTTGTCGATGATTTGTTTAATTATTCTTCTAAACATTCATAAACTATTCATGAGATTTGTTTAAATCTGTACAAATGGCGCGAGTACGTTGTTGATCGTTAAGGTATTTGTATTTAAAAGGAGTAATGTAAACTCTTCTCTTAAGAAGTTTCAAAGCTTATGGGAATCGCTTCTTCGAATTTAAGGTGACGTGGAAACATTTCGTGTTTATGTGCATTGATAATTATCGTAATAAATGATGAAAATTCGATCCTGTGTTGTTATCGAATTTTATATATAATTATAAAAGATTTAAGATTTATTTTTTAATAATTGAATTAATGTATTTTTTGTACTTAAAATAAAATAAATATATATTTGGCATATTTGGTAAAAGCAAGGAGAGTTCTAGTGTAGTTCAATAAAAAAAGAAATAAAAACAAACTTCTGTTCTTTATAGCTGCCTATAACTTTCTCTGGATTACATTCTTTTTTTTGTTTAAACTTTAATAAATATGTATTTTATCTTAAGTACGAAAGTTATATGTTCAACTACAAAGAACAATCCTAAGCTTAAACATGTGACTTTGAAAATGACGAACTTGAAACAAATTATATGATATTGGAACATTGCAACTTACGGAAAGAACACTAATTATAAATTTTAAATTCCAAAAAATTCATATATAAGTTATATGTATCCAAAGTCAACATGCATATACGTTTGAAAAGTTTTGAGCCTAATATAAAAACAAGTATTTTTTCGGTTAAATTCAGTTTTACTTTTCAACTAATCTCCTTTTAAGTTGATAGACTTTTCCCAGTGATGTGTGTGTGTGTGTGTGTATGTGTGTGTGTGTGTATGTGTGTGTGTATGTTTTTCCATCCCTTTAACTCATTCAAATAATAATTGGCGTCTTGCTCTGCAAAATAGGCTTCTACAGATGTGATGACCTCGTTTGATGAAAATCTCTGTCCTCCGAGCCAAACTGGCAATGATTAAGTTCTTGCATTTGAAAAGTAATACGCGCAGATACGATATTCGATTTTTTCCATCTTTACAAAAGCACTGACATCAACTGGCACAAATGACTGTCAAATGAGCGTCCACAATTTTCACAGGTATTTTTCAAAGCATGTACGATTGTAGTGCCAAAATGGTTTTGATGAGTAATGCCATTTTCATATTGAGGCTTATAACTTTTCAAACGACTCTTGTGGGTATATATATATATATATATATATAAAAGAGAAATTGTGTTATTGATTCTCTATGAAATATTGATAATGGAAATGTACAGGTGCTGGAGAAGCTAGTGCAGATGTGCCAGAAGGGGAAGAAGATAAAGTTAAGGATGATGATGCAGTGGCCGAAGGTATTGTCAGTAATCTCTAATTCTTTTATATTTTTATAACGATAAGCTGAAATTTAACATTAAATGGTTCTTAATAAATATTCATGCCGCAATGATGGCAAATTATTCGGTTGAAATTTTTAGGTACCACAGAGGTGACGGAAAACAACGGTGAAACCGAAGAGGTCAAAAAGAAGAAAAAGAAGAAGCGTAAACCCAAAGATAAGGGTGGGGTTAAGCAGCAGACGGATCCACCGAGTATTCCTGTGTCGGAATTGTTCCCGGATGGTAATTTTCCAGTGGGACAAATAATGGTTCACGGACCCGCCGGGGTAGACGACAGGATGGCCAAATTGCGCTTCACGAGCGAGGAGGCGCGCGCCCTCGACAGAATGCATAATGATATTTATAATGAAGCCAGACAGGCAGCCGAGGCGCATCGACAAACGAGGAAGCATATCATGGAATGGGTATGTAAGTCTATGTTACTGCGAGAAGACATTTTTAATTCTTAAAGTTGCATGAATAAACATTGAATTATTGTGTAAACAATATAAAGATCTTTATATACCAAAAAAAAAAAACTTAAACAGTATAGTGTAACATAGTAAGAACCTTTTATTTCTGTTTATTTACCATTAACAAACAAAAATGTAATGATTCACTGTTAGGCTTAATTTTTTTTGCTACACTAAATTGCACTAATAAGCTCTATAATATATTGGAGCATACTATATCAAAGAGCGAAGGTATCCTAGATAATGATACTTCGAGGCAAAGATTATACTGTTTTCTTTTCGTCAGAGATTCGCTAATTAACAAATGCTGTTTTTAGGAAAAAATCAGAAAAACAAGCATGTTATTTGCTTTTCGTTTCTCTGTCAGACAAAGTTTCCTATATATTTAGTATAGGGAAGGCGCGTTCCAGTTTATAACTCACTGGATTGCTCTAAAATTTTTTTGTCTCGTTTTTGCTAAACTTCAAATATATATCTATTTCATGTAAAAATTAATAGTTTCATGTAAATATTCTAAAACTTTTAAAGTAAATCTCACTCTTAAAGATACAAAATTGAGCCATTTTTTTTCAAGACTAGCTTAATTTTCACTCTTCAAAGTGAGATTCTACTCCAAAGAGAATTTAGAATAATAAGTACACAAGAAATAAACCTACTGTATCATCTGCGAATCTTACAAAACACTTGAAATCTCGCAAATGTATTTCTTTCTTTCTTTGCAAATGTATTTCTTTAATGAATTTCGCAGATCAAGCCGGGAATGACTATGATAGAAATTTGTAATGAGCTGGAGGAAACCGCTCGGAAATTGATAGGAGAGGATGGTCTCCTGGCTGGATTGGCATTCCCGACTGGTTGTTCCCGCAATCATTGCGCGGCTCACTACACTCCGAATGCCGGTGATCCAACTGTTCTCGAATTCGACGACGTCACCAAGATCGACTTTGGAACTCACATTAATGGGCGAATCATTGATTGTGCATTCACTTTGATTTTCAATCCCAAGTACGACCCGCTGATTGAGGCTGTTCGCGACGCCACCAATACCGGTATCAAGGCCGCTGGTATCGATGTACAATTGTGCGATGTTGGTGCTGCTATTCAAGAAGTTATGGAATCGTACGAGGTGGAATTAGATGGCAAAACGTATCAGGTACGAAATATAGAATGTTATATGCAAAGTTAATTTTATTTGGTTTAATTAATGTTTTTTTCTTGATTTATGATTATCTAATTATTTTTGAACAACACAAAATATTTTATAAGAATATAATGTGACTATCTTTGATAGTAAGTATCAGTTGATATTAATTAACTGAGCTTTAAAAAGAAAATACATAATACATAATATTTTTAATTCACAAGTGTTTAAACTTCGATTCGACATTTAATTGCGAAAATATATGAAAAAAAATAATAGTTAAAGATAGTGATAAGAATTTAATCATTAAATAATCATTCAATAATCATTTAATTGATTTCTTTGCAGGTGAAATCAATTAGAAATCTGAATGGCCATTCGATTTCACCTTACCGCATACACGCCGGAAAAACGGTACCAATAGTTAGAGGTGGCGAAGCAATCCGAATGGAAGAGAACGAGTTCTATGCGATCGAAACTTTCGGCTCTACTGGTAGAGGCGTGGTTCACGATGACATGGAATGTTCGCATTATATGAAGAGTTTTGATGCTGGTTTCGTGCCATTGAGATTGCAAAGCAGCAAGTCTCTTCTCAACACTATCAATAAGCATTTCGGTGAGAAGCCTAAAGATGCTTGATTAGTTTAAAAAGGCTTTACTCAACAACAGATCTGAGAATTCGAATACTCTCCATTTTATTCGTGTTTTAGGTACTTTGGCTTTTTGTAAACGTTGGTTGGATCGCGTCGGTTGTACCAAATACCAAATGGCGCTGAAGGATCTTTGTGAAAAAGGCGCCGTAGAAGCGTATCCGCCGTTGGTCGACGTCAAGGGCTGTTACACTGCTCAGTTTGAGCATACACTCGTTTTGCGTCCCACCTGTAAAGAAGTCATTTCTCGCGGTGACGACTATTAAAGCGCAGCCGTTGTTTTACATGAATTATTATCGGATATCAAGATGTATTTTAATCTCGATGTAACATCATTGTCGAAGCATCGAACTCTCCAATGTTTGATGCAAAAAATAATCATTGTAATATGTTAGTAACGACATTTCTGAGTATACTATCCATAACTTCGGTTTTTTCTCAATCGCAAAAAGCGTATCAAGTAGCAAGATTTGATATAGACGATAAAAACGTATATACCACCAATAATCTAAAACATCAGGTGTTTCCATGCGTGTTGTTAAATGTGTCTTCTTTGTATTTTTAATTTTTTTTTATTTCTAATATAAATACTTCAAGAAAAGGGTCTCCGCTGTTATGTTTTTTACAACGTTTTTTTATCCACTTTATTACTGATTCCTTACACGTTGGAATGGAAATGACGGGGTTGATGTTTAATGTTGAATAAAATATATTTGGAATCCGAGATTTTATCATTGTGACGATCTCTCTCAAGATCCTGAATATCTTGATTAAATTTATGTTAAACTAAATATGACAAAAGTAAATTAGCATATACATACACGTGTACATATAACTGTACAAAAAGAAAACGAAAGTATCTTCCGTTTGTGGCTTCTCTATTGATTGGATATACGGGTATATTTTCTTAAATGTGAGTTATATATTATAAGAGCTTTGTGTGAATCGCTTGATAAATTAAAGTTGTAACAAACTTAACGGTTTATATTATTTTCGATCTAATGATGCTGCGCATCTTTGTAAGATTTGTCAAATGTAATGAGCCACAAAATATAGTTAAATTTAATATCGATACTTAAATACGATTAATAATTGCTACTATGCAAGGCAGATGTCAAATTTGTCTTACTGCCGTGTAACGAAGTACAAGAACACATGGTCCCGCGGAGTCCTGACTTTATTCGTCTCTTGTCTCCTAGCGGAAACTACTTTTACTTTCAAGTGGCATCACTTTCATATAATCGTAACGATATAATTTTGTCGTTCAATTCTCAGAGATTACCTAAAAGTAATGTTAATCTTCAGTTGATCTGTTCATAGCTGTTCACTGTGTCCAGAAGTCATCACGTCAAATCGATAATTTTAACAATGAATCATGTGATTAGTTTCACGTTAACTTTACGGAATTGTTTCTGTATTTATCGTGAATGAGTTTATTTATTTCATGATGTAAGAAAATGAAAACGAAGTAATGCCACCATCTAAGCTTCGTACAAAATACATTCTATCTACGTGCCCGAAATCGCGTTGAAGATCATGGAAAACATCGTCGTGATTTTCTGGAGAGAAGGGAAAGGATTCTCGCCTTCGACACGAAGAGAACTCTTACACAGACGTGGATACGTTTCGCGGATATCCGGGCATTCGCGATTCATGATTCGTGCTCGAACAATTAATCCTAAACACGGCGCAAAACAAATATCATTTTGTCTGTAACGAAACGATAGATTTTATTATCAGTACGTAGACAAATGTTTCGAGAGCGAATCCTTGCAAATATCTGCCACTGGTGATTTTTATAACAATTTGAATATTCTCAAATTAAAAAAAATTTAATATCATTTAAGATCAAAGGTTCAGAGCAGAGACAATTTCCCATTTCAATAATCGGCAAACATCATCCACAATTAAATTCTTTCGCGTTATCTCGCCGTTAATCTACAACTACTATCTATTGTCGATCTGTCCTACTGTACTATTCCGTCGCTGATGCCTTCGCGACGAAATCTCCGTCCTCGTAAGAAAAAATACGTCAATTATTGTATCCGAGTCAACGTTAGCACGTACAATATAATTGGATTACCGCATATAATAACGTTATCGTGTTGACATACTAATTGGTCATCAAACGCATACTAAGCTCGACTGATCTACTATTAAACGAAGACACGTGGTTGGTTGTTGATTGTATTGTACATTGAGATACCCGATATGCGTTTTATGAGAACCACTTGTGTGCCGCTTGATCCGGGGCAATACGCACACGACACTATAATTTACGGCGTCTAAACTGACGCGTCATAAAGATAGTCTTTAATTTTCAAGACACGAATGTCATTTTGGTTCTTTGTGTTGTTTGGGAATGATTTTACGACGGATTGGCGCGGCGATGTGACGCGTTAAACATCCACGAAATGTTTCTCGAGATAGATCCCCAGCGATCCTGTTCGCGATAGCAATCAAATGCGCGCTCGTTACGTTCCATCGTGTTATCTTAACGCCTAATATTAAGATCTAACGCCTGTTACAACACACGTCTTCCGACGCGCCAAATGACGCCGTTAATAACCCTTGTGTCAAGGAAATCTTATCGGGTTATACATATGTACACTGATTGCAATCGATAAGGCGCTGAAGGGTGAAATTCTGAACCGCCCATTCGAGCGGATCGTCCTCTTCATCCAGGCGCGACATCGGTTTGCACGACCTTCGATCTTCGCCGACTTCACTGAGACTCGGTGCGCGGCCTCAGCTTTGCTCTCGCCGTTATCAGAAGGTTGCTCGGCGGCTCCGTCGTCGCTCGCGATTGCTCCTGCTATAAAAAAAATTATTTAATAAAGAAATCAGCGTAAACAGAGTTTAGCTTGATCACATATTTGAATTGGAATTATTTATATTTATGCATCTTCTGTTATTTCGATTGAATTTCATAAGATGTCAAATGATCGATAATCTTTGAAAATTTAGGATTCAGAATTTGAGGATTCTAGAGAGGAATTAAGTCAAAAGATTGATAATCCTTGAAGATTCATTGGTTTCCTACAATAAGCTATTATCTAAACTTTAAGTCTTAAGCCGTCAGAAATTGACCAATCATAGTCGAATGTAAAAAAAAAAATATTCGACTATGGTCAATTCCTTACAACTTAAGACTTAGGTAAGCTAGTAATTAGGTAAGCTTAGTATAGCTTATTATAGAAAGCCCCCATTAAAGTTTAAGGATTCTAAAAGTAAAGAATTAGGATTCCAGTAAAATGAAGAATAGAAGCATAAAAACTGAATAGTTTCTTTCGAGGATTTGGAAATGTAAAGATTCAGATGTCAGAATTCGAAATCTAAAAATATAATATGTCGATATAATAATTTCACAAAGGATTAGCTAATTACGCCCTATCTCGGATTACCGTTAGTTGAATGTATCTTGCTCTCTGCTCGATTGCTCTTTGCAAGGCAGTCCTGGGATCGTCTTTGTAGCTTTCCTCACGGATCCTCTCAGCTTCCTTCCTCGACGCAGCTTCTCTCTGTTTCTCCAGAGCACGTTGCAGCTCACTTTTCTGGTTCAAGACGTTCTTGCCGCTGCAGAAAAAAAAGGAGAAGCGTACATTTAATGAATCCGGGACAATCCTTTTTGATTAAAAAAAGAAGCGGCTTTCGCTGATGTAATAACGATAATCTCCAGAGTGTAAAAATTGAAGTATGTTAGAGAAATGCAAATATCAAAAATAAAATCGAGTACACGAAATAAAATTTTGAAAAAGAAATTCTTAAATAAATAAAATACGTGATTCTTAAATAAATAAAATAAGACTTTGCGCGTGCAAATAGTAATAAAGATACATTTAGAGAAAGAAAAGATACAGGACAGACAAGAACGCGTCGTAAGATTACGTTGTAATCTTGATCGCAAGTGAAGAAACCACGCGTGCGAATTGGCGTGAATTACGTGCCAAGGTAAAAGTCGGTAAGCGTGAACCGCTTAATTCCATCGAAGCGTGAAGAATCACAGGTGCGGTGCGCCGAGTATGAGCGCGATCACGTACTGATTAGACATAAACAGGGATTTAATGTGGAAACGTATCTGATGCTATCACGATTGACCGCGATCGAAAATAAGTATACGTAATCACGTGAGAAATGTTTTATCAAGCGAAATTTGAACGATCTGGTACTCGATCACGCTCGGATTAATGCACAATAAATTCATTTTACGATAGCATCAGCTTTCATCAGGAAGTTTTTACACGTGGCTAATCGGCTTTCCATTTTCATCGCGAGTATTAATCACCTCTCCTTGTATTAATTAATAGTATTAATTAATTTTAAACGCACGAGAGAAGCGATAAAGTATGTATTTACTTTAGGGGGGATCTCTCTCTTTCGTTCCGGCTTTACCGCAGGCGGAATAAAAGAAACTGTCTGTCTAAATAAAAAACTTCTCGTCAAGAATTCAGTCAAAGAATTAATGAAATAAAATATATTCAGAGAAACTTTACGTAATGAATTTATTAAGAGAAATTTTATATAAAAAAAGATTTTAAGAAAAGAAAATATCTTGCGATTAATTCTGTCAGTAATTCTAATAGAAAAAGAACAGTAAGATGTAGCGTTTCTAATTTAAGTTTCCAATTTCTAGTTTACGTCATTATTTAAATCGAATAAAAAGTTTTTATTGAACTTGAAGAAATTATAATTTATCTCTATGCTGTAAAGAGATACAATATTTTTGTAGAAATACTATTTTCAACCTTATTATAAAATTGTAGCTTAACTATATTAACTTAACTATGTTGATGCTACATTATATTGCGTTATGTTGATTTAAATCTGTTTGTTATGTTATAAAATTTTAATTAAAGAGCATTTTTTTTAACGATTTGGAATAATTGAGAAAACAGGAGGATCAAAGTAATTTCGTGTTTTAAATTTTGAAGAAACTCGACTTACATTTTTTGGTTGAAGAGTAATTCCCTGTGAAGGTCCTTATGATTAGTGGAGATAAGGCAAGGGTTATATGGTTTTTTCGGTAAGATCAGACCATCTGGTCCCATGTGAGGAGCTGGTGGTGGTGGAGGCGGTACGCCCAGAACCGGTGCCATTTTTCTTCCTGAAAAAGAAAAAAAAATACAAATTCGATCTCCTGAAACTCAAGCGGTATATCGTATTTGCATGACAATCGCGAGCATCGCTTTTTTGTTATAATAAATTTCCAATCCTCACACAAAAAATCATTTCGCTCTCCCAAGAATTCGAGAGGATAAGTCAAAAATAAAATTGTATTATCGTTTATATCGATGAAATATCATAGACGTTTAAATCGTTGAAATTGTTTATGTTACAAACATTATTATTAATATCAATAACAAGAAATCTGTTCGTGCTATTTGCATTTTTGTAGTCAGCATTTTTGCTTTCTCTCTTTTCGATACCCGAACATATATTTATCTTATTTTAAGTATAAACATTTTTAAGGATTTCAAGCAACGCGAACAGAATTAAGATTATTAACATATAATATTGCATTATAAATAATATTGAATAAATAATATTCAATTTTCCCGAGCTATTAAAAAAATGAGTTAGCCTATCTTTATTGCTTAACGTCTTTCGTTTGTAATAGAAGTAGTCGCGTGACTGAAGTTGAATAGTATCGTTCACTCGGTTTTTTAGCCTCATTACAAAATTGCAACGTTAATTCAACTACTTACATTATGAAATTTTAATTAAAGAAGAATTTTTTAACGCTTCGGAATAATTGAGAGAACGGTAGGCGAATATTTCTCCGGTGATCCATCCATAACTGAATTTAGATTATTAAGTGAAGTTTTGTGAATTGTTTTCTTCTCTAACAGAATAACGGTACAACTAATGCACACGATCACTCTTAAATTGGCGAAAGTACAGTCCATGATGTAAGAAGACCAGGAATTAATTAACATTGCGCATAATGACTGCTGAATAATATATAATTTGGAGCAAATTTCTAATAGCACAGCTTTTTATATTAATTTATAAAATTTCGAATCAATTTCTGATGTCATTCTTATCCAAACAACACACACGTCCAAAAATGAAACATAAGACATCTTAACGACGCCTGAAAGACATCTTATAAATACATTAAAAGAAATAAAAACGTTTTAAAGATATATAAAAGACATCTTTAAGACGTTTTATATCTCAATTTTAGACTGTTGTCTGAGTACTTTGAACTGCATCCTTGAAATTGGTTCACCTTAGTCTTTTTACATAACGGCGCATCCTGTGATAAGTATTCACCTTCTAACAACGCTATTCTCGCTCTGACTGAGCTACTCTGTTCACACATCGTTGTGGTATCGCGACTTGTGAGACACTTCCTCAGTACGTGAGACGTATCAAAAAGAGAAGTTCTACATATATTTGTAGGGCTTCGCGGATATAGTTGCGTTAATGGGATCAGGGGGCCGCGCAAATGGAATAGTCGCGGCTCAAGGTGAAACAAACGGTGTGTTTCCGTTGCGAATGAACCGGGTCGAGCGTTTTAACCCTCTTTCGTTAGATCTACATTTCGAAAGGCACGCGAGAGACACGACGAGTCGCTTAGGCCTAAGATACGATTAACAATCGGACAACTTTCTCGACGTCAATATATAATAATATCAGATACAAACGACACAGATAAATAAAAGAGAGCTTAGCAAGGCTGCCTTAAAACATAATCAATTTCCAGTATTGTTGAACATGGATTATAGATAAAAAATACGGGAGATCCGAGTTCAAATATCAGCGGAGGAAGCTTTTTCCCAATAAAATTATTTATATTTTTATTTATATTTAATGAAGATGTTTATCAGCATCAGATTATGAAGATCTTTCTAAGATATTTATGAGCATCAAATATTATTAAGTTACTTGTGTGAATTTAATTTGTGATATTACTACTCTAGTTCTGTTAGGATTGTGTTTCAGATTGAAAATCAAATTTGGCGAGCAGTTTGTAGGATTGGATATGAGTACATAAATTCACACTGAATTATTTAAGTACTAAAGATCCACCTTGATCGTTTAGAGCTTTTATTTGTTGTGTATTAACATTGCATTCTTAAAAAATACTTGTTAGTTCAATACGGATGAAAAGGATGTGATAAAATTATAGAAAAAGAACTGGGCAAAATGATTACAAGGACATTTGCCACGACGTTTGTCTTGCGTGACCGATCGTTCGTTCTACTTCCGTTCCCTTTGCTGGAGAAGACGCAACGCGTTTCCAGATAAAAATCGAATCGTTTCGAAATCATAGCTTCACACTAAAGAATCACGCAACGAGATTTCGTTTATTGTCAAAAGTTTAGCGTCACAATTTTCGTTGATACGCGCTCAGGAGGTTCGCTTTCTGATAATAATACATTTGTCGTCCGTTGCTTATCATCGTTTATTCAAGATTATTTATCACGGTCCTACTAGTAGATTGATGCAACATGTCATTTCCGTGTGCCTGTCAAGATAACGTTGTGAAATTCTCAGTCAAGATGAAAAGCCAAAATGACGCCATTCAATTGACGTATTTAAATTGATTTTCGAAATTTATTCGTTTGTAATCGACAAAATATTATTATTAACATTAGTTAATGATAAAATTATAATATTACATTAGCGTTATAATGCTACATTATTATTAGTTTTAAAATATTTATATCTAAATGAAATATTATTAATTTTTTACATTTTAAAGATTGATAGAAATACTTACATGTGTAACGTAATAAATTAGAGGATCGCAATTTACTTATAACTTCCTCATGTAAATCGTGAGTTCGAAATAATGGAAGCATTTCGTGTTACACATACTAGTATGATGGAAAAACGAGCAAATTTATTTCGAGCCGCCCAATGAAATGTTCGATCGAGTCACGAAATGAGGCCGCGAAAGTGAGCGAACGTTTCGTTCGCGTGCACCGCATACATGAACTGCATACGCGATTTTATAAAAACTCGGTGACAGGAAGAGGTCACGATATTTAATCAACCTCAAATTAGAAAATGTACGATAAAAAATTCAAATTAAATGTATAAATTAAATAATTTTATCTTTAAGTTTGCTCCTCCATTGAATTTAACAAAAAAAAGTCGTCGTAGAATAAAACACTACGCGTGCAGTGGAGAAAACGCTCTTTCCGCTTATTGAAAAAAATAGGATACTGTCAGGGAAAACATTCTTAAGCCGATTATTCACAGGCGGATGCGCCTGCTTTGTTTGTTTATTCGCAGAGTCATTGACTTATACCGCGGCGGTGCATTGATCCGAATTTTTGAAAGCACAAGATAAGCCGGCGGCAATACTTAAGTACATATAGTATGCAACGCATCATTAGCGTTAGATAAGTACAGCACCAAGATAAGCGAGTACTCGAGCTAACAATTAGATACGAGCGCACGTAATCATTGAATGATGAATGAAGGAAAGTATATTTCATTTTTTAATCTTTCTTCAATGTCAAAAGATATTCAAATCACGCGTTGTAAGAAGTTTCTCAATAGAACAAGATTGCTAATTGCTTCATTACTGCAGTACTTTGCTGCACCGTCGAATTTACATTTTAATAGTTTACATCAATACTTTTAATCAAAAACGTAATGAGTTTTTGGTTGAAAAAACGAGTGTATCACTTTTGTGAAATCTAAGTTAAAACTTTATGTTCCAGCTAGAAGGCACATAATTTATTTAATAAAAAGTTTATTGATTATTCCATATCATAGATTTTTCTTTACACATAAATTAATAATGGACGTCAATTTTTATTTACGATGTTTTAATTCTATCTGATATTTCGTGTATTTTCGTCGAATAGTGTTTGGTTTAAGTTTATCGAAGCATGATGTACAGAAAGATGACGTTATGCATGACAATCGGAATCGGAAGCCCGTTACGCGATCACCTACTTACGCACGTCGTGCATCGTCAGCCTCGCATAGAAAATAATCACTGATCCCGATTCAATTTACAAGAGATTGCAACATAAGTTAACTTAATACTTATGTATATACGGAAGTACTGACCCCACGAGAGATAAGCCGATATATGCTTTTAGAAATAAAAATTTCTACTTGATCGTAAATTAAATTCACGATTAACTTTTCTTTTTACTTAAACCACCGATAAGATTCTTAGAGTGAGTAGAGAAAAATCAATATAATATTAATGTCTTATTTATTTATGTTTTATTTACTTATCCATCTTACTTATTTATATCTTTTTAAGAAATAACGATATTATCGATATAAAGCAATTACAAATTTTTATTATAATACAACTATTAATAAAATACCCAACAAACAATTTATGTTTAAAATATATGTTAATAACGTTAAATATTTTAATAATATTTTTAAATAGTTTTTATGACGTTTATTTATCAGTTTCTATCCTAACGATTATTAAACGTATTTTAGATGTAATTCTGTTGCTTGGATAATTAATTAATTGTTCACACTATAACGTGCAGTTAAAATAAATTAATATCTACTTATTAAATCTGAATTTTTACAAACTTTATCGAAATCTCGAGGATTCGGATTGGAAAATATATGATGCCTTAAGAAAAGTCGTGAAAGGTATATATCGTATTCTGTCGAGTGCTCTTTTATTGCCCATTCATACACAGAACTGAAAAGAGACTGATAATGCAAAGCTGAAGAAAGTGCATGCAGGTAACAGAATAACACGATTATATAAGAGTGCACGTGTCATGTTTACCACTTTATTGCACTTCAATAGAAATGATTGAATTTCAATCTATCGCGCGCGTAAAGTCACACGGTGGTATAATTCTTTTATTATTACACGTGATTACGTTTCGATTCGACTAAATGACATTGCACAACACATGCTGTATGATCACAAATTAAAGATTTCAAATAAATTGTCAGGATTTACTCAAAATCCTTTAATCTTACGTTACGTGCGACAAGCAATAATAAAGGCATGATCGATATCTTTATTTCAATATTTCTTGGAATTCGAGAATTATTTTTTCTACAATAAATAGAAATGCCTATATACATAAATTTGTATATTTTATAGTAGAATCTTTCAATAAAATACAAAAAGGATATAATCGAGACATT